TGATAACAAAAACAATAATAATGATAATGAGAACAATACAATAATAATTGGCAATAATGACGATAATAATAATAGTCATAATAATATTAATAAAGATAATAATATAAAAATAATAATAAATAATAATAATAATAATAATAATAATAATAATAATAATAATAATAATAATAATAATAATAATAATAATAAAATAATAATAATAATAATAAAAAATAATAATAATAATAAACAATAATGACAATAATAATAATAATAATAACTACCAACAACAATAACAACAGTAACAACAACAACAACAACACAGAAAACAACAACTGACCAGAACAGCAAGAAAAACGCCCTACCAATATAAAGCAGCCGTTTGATATCACTCCGAATTTCCTCCGTCGTCGTCCCGTTCCTCGGCGACCTCACCAGCAGCGGCTCCAGGTAACTCCCGACGTTGCCCAGCTGGTTCAACACCTGCGAAACAGCTGAGACCGCGAGAGGGAGAGCTTTGGTATCTCGGTACGGCTTCGTGACGCGTTGGTACGTGTTGTATGGGGAATGTGTGGGTATTTATCGGGGTTGTAGTAGTGAGAAGAGGGGGTTCGGTTTCGTCGTTTCGTGTTTGGTGTGGCAGTGTTTGCTCTTATATGGGTGTACACGTTATTGTGCTTGTATTTTAGTTAACACACACACATATATGTATGTACGTATGTTATATATATGTATACATTTGTATGTATGTGTTTCATATACACATATACATTTATATATATGAATGTACGTATGTATGTATGTATATATGCATACATATATACATACATACACATGTGTATAGCAGCCTGCCATTACCTGTAGCAGTCGTTCTCTCCTCGGGCGGAAACCACACAGCGGCTATGGTAGGCGCAATGGCCATGGTGGCTGCCAGACCCACACAAATAGCACATAAGTGGGACATCCTGTTGGAAAAGAGACGAAATCCAGGGAAGTTTCTTGTCAGATTGTCTATACAAAGCAAAATCTGTAACCCTGTTATCATATATCTTTAATTTAGGCTTTTTTTTTCTTGTCTCAGAGACGATGTAGATTCCTCCCGTGCTGACTGGGTTCTCGGACCGACCTGGGAAATCCCGCAAGAACTTACACGGTGAAGAACACGTCGGAGCTCGTGGCGAAGGGGATTATCCTCATGACGGTCCCCGCTGCGATCAGGCCAGCACACGCAAGCAATCCCGCTCGGACTCCCTTGGCCTCCATGAACCAGCACATGGGCACGATGCCCACCACGAACATGATACTCCCCCAGTTGCCCATCATGGCCACCGTCTCAGCGCCCCATCCCGGGAAGGCGACGCTCACACTCTCGCTGATGGGGCCCCACGTGTTCCACTGGGCGCCCTGGAGGGAGAGAAGCCGACGCTCAAAGACGTCTAAAAGCTTTCGCTGCTCAGAGAAAGCCAAGAAGAGCAACTCACTAGTCAATTCAGGGCGTCTGAATTCGTGCATTGCTCACTCAAACGCATTTAAAACCCATTCATTCTGTTAACCGGAACCTTAACCACCCATTGCTCAATCAGAGGCGTCCCTTAAGCTTTCACTGCTCAGTTAAACACATCTAAGGTCGTTTCTCGCTCAATCAGAAGCGTCTTCATTCATTCATTACTCAAAGGGCGTCTAAAAACCCATTCACTGCTGCCCTTGTACACACAGCATTGCCCACGGACCTCAAACCACGCGAGGAAGGAGAAGATGAACAGAATCCAGAAGCGAGTGTAGTAGGACTTCGTGGTGACCTCCGCACCCTCGCTTTCTCGGCGCGACTCGGGTTCAACTGCGTGGGGGTGACCGTCTTGCCAGCTGTTAGAGGCAGCTGGTTTTAGGGTCACGTGTGTTTCGAGGCGCCTGCCGTTTAAGAGAGGACTCCGCTCTGAAAGGATGCAGGAATGTTTGTGATAATCGTAATGAAGCGTTTAATATAGTCGTATAGTACCCACTGGTCACTGTGTAAGAAAAGGTAATGTTGCTTGTTATGTTATGATAATTTGGCGAATCTATTCATTAACTAGGATAGTTTTCTTTGATAGTAATATTAGGAATTACATACATGGAAGACATTAGTAGATATTTCCTTATCAGAAAGACAAATTAATAATTTAAAGAGATTAAATAACCCGATGGGCATTTGACTTCGGGAATCCCGTAAACTAGAAAATCCACAAAACCGGGAATCACAAACAATCTTTGGAGGAGATTTTTCAGATCAGAACAAAAAAAGTTCCATTCGCAGCAATCTCTAACAAAATCTCGGAAATAGTAATGAAGATGCAAAATTAGTAAAAAAAAAAAAAAAAAAGGTGTCATAAACTTGGACCAACACCTGGGCAGTTCGAGGGCAGAGTGTTATGTTGAGACCGCTGTGCAGGAGCTTTTCTTTGGTTGCCAGTGAGTTCGATTGGTAAACACAACCTCAATCAGACGCAGAATAAAATGCAGAACAGTATAGTAGAACAATTCG